GCATCTTGCTTGTATCGCCCCTCATACTCCTCCTCCTCTATCAACCCCTCACTTCGCTGCAATACGGGACACTTTAAAAGACGCACCGTCCTGACTCTTCGCCCATGCTCGATGCACACCATCTCGGCGCGCAAGGGGAGAGCTCAAATCGTGTGTAGATAACCTGGCCAAGGAGCAAAATCCTGTCCACCTCCTCGCCCTGCCCTTTCTCGCCACCAGGAAAGTAGGCCATTGTCTGTTGCTGATTGAGTTGACGGGAGCGAGGCCCACGACGGCACAGAGGAAAAGCCAAAAGTAAAAAAAAAAAAAAAAAAAAAACAGATTAAAGGCGCACAATCATGACAAGAGAGGGCCCGGGGTCATGGACCCCCACATGGACCTCGCTGACTCGTCCGCCGGGCAGGTGGTTATCGCGGATGGGGCGGAGGGAGGTGGGAGGGCTATATTGTCACTTGGCTATATCGTAACATTCTCTGTGCTTTTTGTTTTTTTCTTGCTTTGACCTGCCCATGCTTAGCGGGTGACGGACCTGTCAGGCGTACGCTTTGACAAAGTAGCACACACATGTAGATACCTGTCCCTTTTTTTTTTTCTTTCTTTTTTTTACCCACAGACGGGCGGCAGTAACAAAGGCCGGGGGTTCTTCCTTCTGGATGGCGAAAGAGGGGCAAAACGAACAACCAATTGGGGGTGGAGACAAGAGTCTCCTCCGAACCAGTCGCGTCACCCGCAAGGCCCTGCTAGCGGCGTTTGGGAAGGTGGGGCAACGTCAACAAAGACGCAGGTCCACGAAATGGATGGACGGTGCTGTTCCCGTGATGGGCGTGGGCAGTATAGTATAGTGGGCTATATGCAAGGGGCCCGTAGCTTGCGTCAGAAGCGAGATGGCTTCACTTTCTGTTTGCGCATCTCTCTCCCTTCCCCGTCTCCGGCCCCTTGTGCTCCCCCGCTTCCTCGTTGTCGTCACCGTTTGTGTATTTTCTGGTTCGGCCAGTCGTGGGAGGGGGTGAGTGGGGGGCGAGCGGGAGTGAGTGAGGCGAGCGGCGACGCGACCGACGTGCTTTTTCTTTTTTCCTTTCTCTTTTTTTCCTTGAGGATACCTCTAGTTGAGGCGGTCAGGAAAGAGAGCTCCCACACACCCACCCCCGCGCTGGGTTGCAGCGGCGAAAATCATCAACTTGGCACGGGGGAGATGGAGTGAGCAACTTCCTCCGCAAGGGATCTCGACCAGAAATTCAGCGATTCTGGCTCGGCTACTTTTCCTGCGACCTGGAAATCAAACGCTGATCTTTGGGCGGGGCAAATGTGTGGGAAAACCTGCGTGCCTGCAGCTGAAACGGGTCATGATGTCGACTGTGACGACTGTGACGACTGTGACGACTGTGACGATTGTGACGATTGTGACGATTGTGACGATTGTGACGGCGATAACGGACTCTGAGCATGCGAGATTCGGCGTTCGTCCTTACCGGTCTCGGCCAACTGTGCTGCGCGATCATCTTTTTCTTGGTCGGTTAGTAATAGCCTAGTTTACATATGCACGTCGCCTCGCTTGTTTGGAACGCACACCTTTTTCCCGACTCCTTACTTCTTCCCACCCTTTTCCCCTCTTTTGTTCCCTTTCTTTTACTGTACAGCGCAACGACGAGCGAGTCGGACAACTCCTCCCCCCCTGTCACGGCCCCAGCTTCCGGCTACGAGGGGCCCGACTCTTTCACGGCCAGGCCCCGAATCGGCCGTCCACCCCCCCACAAGGTCGCAGGCCGGCGGCCAGAGTCCGAGTGGTGCAGGTGCAGTCGGAAAAGGAAAAATCCAGGTCAATTGTCGACGTCTTCCGTCTTCCCCGCCCGGCACCGCTTTCCGTGTCTTTCTCCCAGTAGCAGCAAGAAAAGAAACCGGTCTCAGCCCCGGCTCGAGGCGCTGGCCCAGAAAGTCAGCAGGGCAGAACCACACCCCCATATCCTTCGTATCCTTTGCTAGCCACACTCTATTCGACTTGTCGCTGGCTCTCCAGAGGCTGCCGGGATGCATTGTGACAACTGCCGACATGAACCATACTTTCCGACAGCATTGCACCGTTGAATATGCCTTGATATTAGCTTCTCCCAGGTCTACTTTATGCAGGGGGGTTTTTTGTTT